ATAACCTGGTATGGCTGTACAGGATAACCCAAGCTTCCTCGAAAACATGCAAACCTTTCCATTCTTTCGTTGTTCCTTTCGTGCAGAGTTCCCCCGCCTGCGAAGCCTACCGCTGGACATGTTGTCGGAAGGTATTTCACTCCAGCATGCGAAAACACTTCAGACGTATGCAACGGGCGGTCAGTGTGTATGCCCTTAAGGCGGGGAGGTGACTGCTGCACAACGACCGGCAAATGTGTTGCGTCTATTGTGATGAATAAAATATCCCTTATGTTGGAATCATACACGCCGTATCAGTACTTTCAGTACGTGACGTGATCGGATCTCGACGAAGATTTCGCGCACTACGGACGTAACTGTAACCGAGCTGCTTCTCACTGCACAAGCTCACACCGAACGAACAAAGATATGGTCTTCGAGCACGTGCTTGAAGGCTGTCGTCGGGGCATCCACACCCGATCGAATGGTTCCTACGACAGACTAGATGGTGAATCTGTCTGCTAGAGTAGGCCGGCATTGATCTATAGGCATAAGCCAACTGTCCTATCAGCCCAGGTTGCACGTGAGTACCGTGTGTCCTTGGTGTTCTGGACGTTCGCTCTCTTACTTCGCCCAGTTGGGGCATGTGTTCCGGACACATGGGCCGAGTTCACAGGAAACAAGAAGCGTCTCCATTCAGACCAATCTCGTCTTCGAAATTGCAGTCAGGCTACCATTAATACGCAAAACCTAGGCCGATAAGTGGCAGGCATGCGTCTTGATCCCTGCCGAAGCGCTCCGTCACAACGATGTTCTGTTCTCCCACACACTCTTCGCTGGCCACCCCGTCACCAAGACTAGCTATGCATTTATCCACGAAAAACAATCCACGAATCTACCTCCAAAATATACTGAAGTAGACAGGCGTAGCGTCCTGGTCTATCCCTGCTGAAACTCACCCAACATCACCACTTCTACTGTTCTTCCACACGCGACCTTCGTTAGTCACAACGTAAAACTGAGGTTTCACGTCGAGTAGTCCAGAGCAAGAGATAAGGGACAAACCCACGGCACAGCCTTCTAACAGTTACGGATGGCCGGATTAGAGTAGTGTTGACATTTTCACCAGTATTCCACGTTTGTCTCTTATGACTCGCAGCACTGGTCGGCGGTGCAGTCGTCGTTGGTGCAACGGGTCGTGCCGGCGTCCTCGATGGGGATGTAGCCGTCGGGGCACGCGAAGTAGCTGCAGTAGGCCTCGCAACACTGGGAGACCTCGCACGGATCGTCGTCGCACTCGACCTCCCAGGCGTTGGGGATGGGGGTGTACCCGCCCGGGCAGCCGATCGAGTTGCAGTACGTCTTGCCGTCTCCCATGTAACCTGTAGTCAACGAAAAAACACTTCAGGTCGGCATCCAGAAGTGTTTCAAGAGTGCACACGAATACCTGCATTTATCAATCCCTAGATAGGGACGCCCCCAAACCAACTCGGGACTCGGCGAGTTTGACCTATGCCGCGGTCTTCATGTAGGCCGCGATAAATGGATCATTTTCGCTACCAAGCACGTAATGCATTGTTCGTGATATACAGCTGCAAAACCCATCTTGAGGTAGCCGCCGCAAACCTCCCCCGGACGAACGGTGCAACGAGAATAGTGCTGTACTGCAGTGAGGCCAGGCGTGGACGCCAAAAAAAAGGCAGGCAATCCGAGGGTAACCGCCACGACTCGAGACTCACCAGGAACGCAGCACTGGTCGGCGGTGCAGTCGTCGTTGGTGCAACGGGTCGTGCCGGCGTCCTCGATGGGGTTGTAGCCGTCGGGGCACGCGAAGTAGCTGCAGTAGGCCTCGCAGCACTGGGAGACCTCGCACGGATCGTCGTCGCACTCGACCTCCCAGGCGTTGGGGATGGGGGTGTACCCGCCCGGGCAGCCGATCGAGTTGCAGTACGTCTTGCCGTCTCCCATGTAACCTGTAGTCAACGAAAAAACACTTCAGGTAGGCATCCAGAAATGTTTCAAGAGTGCACACGAATACCTTCAATATTCAATCTCTAGATAGGGACGCCCCCAAACCAACTCGGGACTCGGCGAGTTTGACCTATGCCGCGGTCTTCATGTAGGCCGCAATAAATGGATCATTTTCGCTACCAAGCACGTAATGCATTGTTCGTGATATACAGCTGCAAAACCCATCTTGAGGTAGCCGCCGCAAACCTCCCCCGGACGAACGGTGCAACGAGAATAGTGCTGTACTGCAGTGAGGCCAGGCGTGGACGCCAAAAAAAAGGCAGGCAATCCGAGGGTAACCGCCACGACTCGAGACTCACCAGACACGCAGCACTGGTCGGCGGTGCAGTCGTCGTTGGTGCAACGGGTCGTGCCGGCGTCCTCGATGGGGTTGTAGCCGTCGGGGCACGCGAAGTAGCTGCAGTAGGCCTCGCAGCACTGGGAGACCTCGCACGGATCGTCGTCGCACTCGACCTCCCAGGCGTTGGGGATGGGGGTGTACCCGCCCGGGCAGCCGATCGAGTTGCAGTACGTCTCCTGTGGTGCGTGAGAAAAGAGTGGACGGGCAGGGGAGACCGGCGGTTCCGGAGGGGATGGGTGTGAGAATATTAATCAATTGATGAATCGGAAAATTGCAACCATCGTTGTCCTTACAACTGCCATGGGTTTGGCGCTTTCACGACCGCCACGACGTCTCAAGAACAGCGACCACAAGACCAGCCGCTACGGCCGCACAGACCAAAATCACTTCTCCGCACGTCCGAAGCCTCCGTTCGACAATCACAGCTTTGAGATATTCTACTATGGAGGAGCAACACCTCCCCAACACGTACTTACCTGAAGGCGCCGGCCGTCGGCTGCTGCACCTTCTGCACCTTCATAGGCCATGAAATGAGCGACGGGGGAANTGTTCACGGGGAGGAAACACCGATCGGGGGACATTTGGACTACATGTGTAGCTTGTCAAAGATCGTGTGTAGCTCATGTGCCAAGATAAGCTTATCATGTCTGCCTGTACCCATTCAGACCCATCCACCACGTCGTTCTTGCGCATTCACTTTTTGGCCAACATTTGCTTTCTTGCTATCGAGGATGATTGCCGACTACATGTATGGGACGAATAAACTGTGGCAAGAAGGAGAGGAGGTGGTTTGGCTGTTCGGGATTTTTTCAAGAAAGGGCACGAGAATGTGTGCAGGATTGCAGGAGGGAGCATGAGCAGCCAACAGAG